TCTCCTCCGTCCGTGCCTCCGTCGACTCTTTCTTACACTCTCACCCTCCCGATCAATCCCGCCACTTCTTCTCCTTCACCTTCCCTACCTTATTCCGCAAGCTCTATGGCTTCGATGACTCCACGTCGCCGCCCAACCAAAAATCCAGCGGCGGTGGATGGCTCGACATAATCCACAAAGCAAACGACCACGCTTTAACTTCTAGGGTTTTCAACGTCCTCTCTCCGAACAGCGTGCTTTTCCAATCAATCTTCGCCGTTGATCGTCAATCTTTAGTGAAATACGTGTTCCTAATCGAACGGTTGTCGGAGTGGGCTCGGTTTATGTTATCGAGCAAAAAAGATTGTCGGGTTTAAAACAATCTTTTTCCTCTCCTTAAAGGGAAAATCAAAGAAGATTCGATTAAAGAAGATTCGATTAGAGGAAGAGGCTCTTTATATTATCAAGTACAATTAAATGTCTTTGAATATTTCATGCTCGGTTCGCTTATTACCCTATTTGTAAAGGAAATAGTGAGAATTTGAATAGTTTAGCAACTAAAAGACCCAAGAAGTTCAAATTAGAGAATTGGGCATCTTCTATTCCGTGTTTTTCGCATTCGAAACATGGAAATGAAAGAAATGTGGAGGGGAATAGTATCGTTGTCTCGGAATTGGGCACTCGCGGATGCCGATGTGTTAAAGGATCTTGGGAAGGCATACCGGGAAATAATTTGGCAAGTTTCTCCGTATAATGACTCCAAAGTGGATGAAAAGAGAAATGCGGAACCGTAGACCGAGAGTGCGGATGCGTCTTCATCAAATGCCGTTGGAAGAGAGGGTGATGATGATGCAAATGTTCCAGCTTGTGAGATTCATGAACCCAGCTTCGTTAGGAATGGTTCTCGGTCCCTTTGGAGTGGTGAACGTGAATTTCTCTCCGATCATTCATTCAGGTGAAGGTTTGCACCGTCGTAGTCGACATGGCTTGGCACGCATACGCGGTGGGAGGACCGGTCGGCACTCGGATGCTTTAAGTGTTGACTCGAGATCCCATCGATGAATCCGAGACGTCTTTGCCAAAGTTGAAAAGGAGAACTCCCGATGAGGTTCTTTCTTCTCTACCCTCGTGAAGGGATTTACGTCACCAAACCGTCGAAGGGCCGATGTAGGATCGTCGAGTGCGGCTTCAAAGACCCCGGGAACCACCTTGGCTAAAATATTTCTCGAGGCTCTAAGTTTCTCCGGGTATTCTACAACCGGACTTGATACATCACCGTCGGCTAAGTGCCCATATCTTGGAAAGGTAGTTGATGACATGGCAAGCACTCATATTTGACGGGAGGAGGCGCACTTGTTATGCAAGCAGTGGTCAATAATCTTTATGTACATTGAACCTTTAGGGAGCTTCTCGCAACATTTGAAGCTACAAGTCAACTTTTATGGACACTCCCTTACTTTTTTCCCACACCCTCGACTGACCATGAGAAGGCAGGTGAAGGAAATAATTTGTCTCACAAGTACATGGCTACTTGACACTTTACACAGCCTATCGCCGCGTGCTCGAGTACTACGTAAACTCCTCTCTACTTTTATCTTCAACCTTCGCATCCCAAGCTCGCCTACTTGTTCAGCCTCGTTGCGGTTGGTTTGTCAATCGGGCTATTTCCTGTTCCTAAGGACCCCGAAGTCTTTGTTCGCATGCTGCAGTCTCGGGTCCCGGATGTCATATTACCCGTCCGGAACCACCCGATGATTCCAAGTTGCAGCTCTAGTTTCATTGCTTCTATTATATCACTTGTTACACGCATATACTCGATGTTGGAGATGTCAAAAGGAATCGCAGTGGTGTTACAGGAATTACGAACCAAAGGTTCATGCCCCCACCGCTCGATGAAAATACAATTGCAACAATTGTTGAGATGGGCTTTACAAGGGCAAGAGCTCGAAGAGGCATCGAGGTGGGTGGAAACAAATAGTGCTGAAATGGCAATGGAGTGGCTCGTTCGGTCATGCCGAGGATCCTGTGCGGGAGGATGATGAGTTGGCTCGAGCACTTGCGCTCGTCACTAGGAAGTTCATCGAAGGATCAAAAGTTGACAATGTGGATAAGCCAATAGATGTCCCGACGTAAGGAGGACAAATGAAGGTGCCTCCCGTCGAAGATATTCTTGCCGCATCCGTGTAGTTGTTTCGGATTAGTGATACGATGGCATTCTCATTGATGATTTGCTTTTGACCCTTCGCAATCGGAACAAAGGAGAGGACCATCTAAAGGTGGCATCTTATCTTATTGAGCGAGCTAAAGCTTTGCCCGTTGGATTTTTCCAAGGATTCCGAGTGCATTGTGTATGATATCACATATTTTAGCATCGCTCCTTTTCGAGGATGGAACTGTTCAAGAAATTGCCGCACGTAATGGTATTGTTGCCGCTGCAGCAGATGTTTTGATGAATCTCAAGGCTAGAAATGCATCGGGGAGCGAAATTCTTGTACCAAAATGCATAAGTGCTTTGTCTGCTCATCTTGGATAATATGTTGCAATCCGGACCCGAATCTCTTCCGAATCCGTGGGAGACTTCATCTCCACTCGATGCATCGGCTCCGGCATCGGGTATGGATGAAAAAGTGGCTTCGGACTTCCCCGAGAAAGAATCAGTGCAAGCACTTGAGAAAATATTAGGGAAGTCAACCGGTTACTCGACTATTGAAGAGAGTCATAAAGTACTACTTGTTGCTTGTGACTTGATGAAACGAAGACGTCCTCGTCGTGATCATGCGAGCTATTATGCGCTTATGTGCTCGCTTGACAAAAACTCACGTTTTAGCCTTGCAATTTCTTGAAAACGGAGGGTTAGCCGCTCTCTTTAGTCTTCGAAGAAGTTGCTTCTTCCCCGGATATGACACCGTTGCGTACTGCCATAATTCGGCACCTCCTCGAAGATCCTCAAGCTCGCAAACCGCTATGGAATTGGAGATACGGCAAACTTTGAGCCGAAATCGCCATGCCGGGCATATTTCCCCAAGGACATTTTTGACGTCTATGGCACTCGTTATCTCCGGAGATCCCGTGGTTTTTATGAAAGCTCGCTGCTGCAGCTTGTCGATTGGAGTCATCGGGAGCGGGGACTTTTGTGGTGTTATCAAAGGAAAAGAGAAGGAAAAGGACGGATCAAAAGCTTCGAGTGCTGAAGAATCCGTCCGCATTTTCAAACTCGAAGAGCAATTCACATAAAAACATTTTGTTGCTCGATAAAAAGGTTTTTGCTTTTTCCGAACCGGTATATTCAATTTTGTCTAAAAATGCATCCTCCAGCCCACTTACCCGGTTCCGGATGCTCACCGGATACAGCAAAAAGCATGATAGATGGAGGAATGGTGCGTCTCTTACCGGCATTCTTCAAGTGATTGATTTGGACCATCCCGATGCTCCTAAAATTGTTAATCTTCTATCGAAGGCTTTGGTCCTTTGGAAAGCTCGTCAAGGGCGGCCAATGCTAGTGAGCAAGTTATTAAATCCGAGGGTCCGAATAAGAAGAAAACTACGAGTGTCAAGTGAGAGACATGATGAACAAAGCCGCATTTGTCGCGGAGACCATAGAGCATAATCGGAGTATTGGTGGCACGCACGAAGTCCCGGATGAGGAGGAGATCGACATTCAAGAACAACGAAGGAACTCCTCATGTTGAGCGTAGCCGTGCCGCACATCAAAATCGATCGACGGAGCAGGTGCCCAAGCTCGCCGCAATTGCACAAGCAATAGAGGAACAGCTTCCGTCGCAGTCGTGCGAGTGTACCTACAACCAATGGTCCCATCGAGAGGCCGTCCTAGAATTCGGGAGTGCAGGAGAATCAACCATCCGATGATCCTCTATCCAATGATGGTCAACTAGTGGTGGATGGTGATAACACCAGCAGCCGCAAGCCGACTTCGGCAAGAAAATGGCAATGAAGTTACCCACTATCGGCCCAATCCAACCGTTGATCCTCGGTCTTCATTCAATGGTGCGAGTGAAGGTCTACGGGTGGATGAGCCTATGTTAGTTCAACCAATTTCTCCGAACAGTACCCCAAATGGTCTTGATTGCATGGAAATTGGAGATGGTGATACTCGCATGTGATCAAGTTGAGACAATGGGGAGGCTCATTGTTCTTAGAAGTACATCTTTCGATCTATTTGTTTATAGCCCTTTCTCTCATTGTTTTCTCTGTATGAAAATTCTAGAAGAGGTTCAAAATGGGGAGATACAAAGGATGATTTTAAAGCTATTCATTGAATTAGGGGTTAGGGTGTTGTTAAATACTCTTAAAAACATTCGGGAGTTGATGGGATGAAGGTATTAGTTTAGAATTTGTACCGCAAATAAGCGAGCTTTGGTGGGTTTTTATTCGGATGAATAATATAGATGGCCCGACCCTAATTTCCTCTAGTGTCTTCTTTGTTTTTCTTTTTTGCATTTGCAATGCGGGAAGAAGATGGGGTCGGAATACAGCTATATCCTAACATGATAGCCAATCATAGTTTAGCAAAGTAGGATTTTAACAATCGGTAGATTTACATTCTAGAAGGGTAAATAGACGTTTTATGTGGAATGAAGCAGTCGAGTATATCAACCATATATTTTTATGTTGCAAGTAGACTCGAAGCTTATAGGTGTTGATCTTTGGGATAGTTTTTCGTATGGGCTCGAGGCCAAAATTGGAGATGCTTATATAATGGGTTTTGCTAATATTTGCAACTTTCAACTACAATGGTGTGCCAATTTCCTTTTATTTTTTCTTCTTGGTGTGTGTGTGCGGGGTTAATCGGGGTTGGTGTGCAATCACTACATTTGTTGCAATATACAACTAAGGAGCATCACCAATCCAAGTATTCGAGTAATAACTTAGGAGAACCACCAAACTAGTATTCGAGTAAAGCTCGTCAAGGGTCGCCAATGCTAGTGAGCAAGTTATTAAATCCGAGGGTCGGAATAAGAAGAAAACTACAGTATCAAGTGAGAGACATGATGAAGAAAGCCGCATCCGCTGCAGAGACCATAGAGCATAATCGTAGTATTGGTGGCACGCACGAAGTCCCGGATGAGGAGGAGACCGACATTCGAGCAACGACAAGGAACTCCTCATGTTGAGGGTAGTTGTGCTGCACATCAAAATCGGTCGACGGAGCAAAACATGAGGATCGAATCGGAAGATACAATGGCAACCAACCCATAAATGGAGATAGGAATGGATTTCATGCGTGAAGAAATGGAAGAAGGTGGTGGGTTACACAACACCGACCAAATTGAGATGACTTTTCATGTCGAGAACGAGAGTCGATGATGATATGGGTGATGAGGACGATGACATGGGAGATGATGGTGACGAGGATGAGGATGATGATGAGGATATTGCTAAAGATGGTGCCGGTATGATGTCTCTTGTCGACACCGATATGGAAGACCATGATGATACCGGCTTGGGAGATGACTATAATGATGAGATGATCGACGAAGAAGATGATGATTTTCATGAGAATCGTGTTATAGAGGTAAGGTGGAGGGAGGCCCTTGATGGGTTAGATAATTTGCGAGTATCGGGCCGACTCGTAGCTTCAAGTGATCTAATTGATGTTCGTCGTCGAGCCATTTGAAGGGGTGAATGTGGATGATCTTTTCGGTCTTCGCAGGCCTTTGGGTTTTGACCGCCGACGTCAGAGTGGCAGTGTCTTCCTTTGAGCGACTCGTCACGAAGTAAATGGATTTCAACATCCTCTTCTCGTCAAGGCCATCCCGGCCGGGGATCCGGTTTCTATGTGGTCATCGGGTGGGCATTCATCCAGGGATTTAGAAGCTTTGTCATCCGGGAGCTTTGATGTAGCTCCCTTTAACATGTTTGATGCTCATGTTCTTCCGTATGAACATGTACCTAGTAGTATATTTGGTGATCGTTCGGTATCGCAAGCACCCCCACCTTTGTCCGATTATTTTGTAGGTATGGACACGTTGCATACACAGGGACGAAGAGGGCTCGGTGATGGCAGGTGGACCGATGATGGTCGGCCGTGAGCGAGTGCCCAAGCTCGCTGCAATTGCACAAGCAATAGAGGAACAGTTCTTATCGCAGCTGTGCAGTTGTACCTACAACCAATGGTCCCATTGAGAGGTCGTCCTAGAATTCGGGAGTGCAGGAGAATCAACCATCCGATGATCCTCTATCCAATGATGGTCAACTAGTGGTGGATGGTGATAACACCGACGAGTCGACAAGCCGACTTCAGCAAGAAAATGGCAATGAAGTTACCCACTATCGACCCAATCCAATCGTTGATCCTCGGTCTTCATTCAATGGTGCGAGTGAAGGTCTACAGGTGGATGAGCCTATGTTAGTTCAACCAATTTCTCCGAACAAGTACCCCAAATGGTCTTGATAGCATGGAAATTGGAGATGGTGATGGCACTCGCATGTGATCAAGTTGAGACAATGGGGAGGCTCATTGTTCTTAGAAGTACATCTTTCGATCTATTTGATTATAGCCCTTTCTCTCATTGTTTTCTCTATATGAAAATTCTAGAAGAGGTTCAAAATGGGGAGATACAAAAGATGATTTTAAAGTTATTCATTGAATTAGGGGTGAGGGTGTTGTTAAATACTCGTAAAAACATTCGAGAGTTGATGGGGGGAAGGTATTAGATTAGAATTTGTATCGCAAATAAGAAGCTTTGGTGGGTTTTTATTCGGATGAGTAATATAGATGGCCCGACCTTAATTTTCTCCGGTGTCTTCTTGTTTTTTTTTTTTATTGTTTCTTTTTTGCATTTGCAATGCGGGAAGAAGATGGGGTCGAGAATAGAGCTCTATGCTAACATGATAGCCAATCATAGTTTAGCAAAGTGGGATTTTAACAATCAGTAGATTTACATACTAGAAGAGTAAATAGATGTTTTATGTGGAATGAAGCAGTCGAGTATATCAACCATATATTCTTATGTTGGAAGTAGACTCGAAGCTTATAGGTGTTGATCTTTGGGATAGTTTTTTGTATGGGCCGGAGGCCATAATTGGAGATGCTTATATAATGGGTTCTGCTAATATTTGCAACTTCCAACCACAATGGTGTGCCAATTTTGTTTTATTTTTTCTTCTTTGTGTGTGTGTGGGGGGGTTAATCGGGGTTGGAGTGCAATCACTACATTTGTTGCAATATATAACTAAGGAGCATCACTAATCCAAGTATTCGAGTAATAACTAAGGAGAACCACCAAACTAGTATTCGAGTAAAGAGGCAAAAGTTTCTTGAATGCAAAGGAACAAGTTCTCACATGCAATAGGATTAAATGTAGAGAAATCGCTATCCGATTTGTAGTCCAAGATTCATTTATATATATATATATATATATATATATATATATATACTTTTCTTTACCTCATTTTCTTATATTTCATATTTTTTTCATTTTTTGAAATTCTTAGAGATATTCTCAACTCTGTAAGCAAAAGCTTAATCATGCTATTCGACATGCTTCCATCATCTTATGAATTCTTCTCGTCCATGTTCGGGAATTGCATCCTTTTGATGTAAATTAATTTGAAATATAAATGCCGAAACACCCACTCGCTTTATCCCTTTAAAATTGTTTCATAATTGCCGATTCTTTTTATTTTATTTTTTTATTTTTCAGCAATTTTATACCTAATCATGTGAGCATTTTGGGATTGATGATCACATAAAACTACTGGAATATGTTGTTAAAAAAATTTCCTCAATTCTTTAGGCATACTTGGATGTGGTAATGCATACCTTATTCAAATTTCTTTCTCTTGAAATTCTTTTAATGCCAACAATGGTTCTAATTGCAGAGCAATGAGGCAATCAATGATACCTTAAGTATCTTCTTCGAAGTGGCAACAAGGTTAGTGATAATTCTATATTATTCTATTTAAAGATGTGTTATAGCTCTTGGTTCGTACTTGTTTAATTAAGATCAGCATTTTTTTAGGTTCATATACATGGAAGGGAGGTTGGACACTATTAAATCATTAAATTTACTTTATTGCGTAACATGAATGTAGAATATCTTTTTCACTTGTATTTAAATATAGAATTTAAATTACTTAGTTTCTAAAGTTATAACTATATTCAATACTCCATTTGTCTTCGTTTGTAGGTGGAGGACTTTCCATTTTCGGAAGATCACAGGCATTTTCACAATAGAACGATGTTCTACTATGCCATGGGCTTCGCCGATTTTCTAGGAGGATAGTCTTTTGAAATTTAGATCTTTAATGAACCAATTCTCCAGGTAATTAATTTGAATTTTCATTACATTATATTGGCTCACATTCATCTAGTATATACCCATTTTCACGTGAACTCGTATGATGTAGTTCCTTGTTTCATCTCATTCTATAACGCTTATTTTGACTCGTAATGTCTTAAGTGCTTTCATTAGAATCTCTAGCTCTTCTCGGCATAAAACTCGGAGAAACCCCGAGCACAGTATGCTAGGCCAACCCAAGTCATTTTTCACATGAGTTATTCAGTGTATTAGATGCCAACTCAAGGGGTCTAACAAAGTGGTTATTTGTCATGTGAAACATTGCCTATTGGATATGAATTATCAAATGGAGGCTAGGTCTTTGGCGTAGGGTAGAAATTAACACGTTATGCGATCTCGCTTATCTTTGAACGATAAATTAACAAGAGAACATGGTAACAATAAATATTTAACGAGGTGCATCTTAAAATAGCAGAATATTAATTGATAAATACTCGCTACTCATCGAATTTTCTTATCATACATATTTCGTGCTTTAAAGAGTATCTATCTTTTTCGTTTGATATTAATGAGACAATGTTACATCTTTTGCTTGTATTAGGCTTTTATTAAGACAACCTTAGTGTCTATAATTTTAACATTGGAATATCATTATGCTCTATACAAGCTTTAGCCGAGTTGGAATCTGTACTCGATGCAATGTTTCGCTTGGAATCGATAAAATATGCATTCATTGGGTTGATGAGGGACCTTAGATGACTAGCAATGGGTAAAATTAGGTTGATAATCATATGATTTCTTCTAGTAACTCGATCTTTGCATATGCTTTATAAATTTTGGTTTGTTTCCTTCTTTTCCTTTGCCTCGTTGCCTTTTCATTTCTTTCTAACTTTATTGTGTTTTTAGTCCTAGAACATATGCCTTCCTTTTTCGAATTTCTTTATCTATAACACATACTGCTTCTATCCAAAGCCATTGCACATTGGTCCGAAACTCCGGAGGTAATGTGAGCAAGCAAGCAAATTAATGCATTAGACAATTATCTCGTTTATATATCCGACATATTTTATTAAGTTTGCATAATTAGTCATTAGTAATTAAAAAAAATAGTAATAATTTTAAAAGAAAAAAAGAAAATTGTGATTCACTTTGTTTTAGGGTTATTTAGGTGGTTTCGATTATAGTTAATTGAATAAATAAGCCAATAACTCGTTAAACTATCTAAATGTGTCCAATATATTTCGATCTGTACCTTGGATCTTGTAATGTTAAAAATAATTCCAAATTAAATCTATAATCAAGAGAATGTAATAATAATAAAAATTAAAATCATAATACCATGCAAGAGTGGGATATGAAGGGGAAGAAAAACATGGGTTCTGTTCTAATAGTCCGGTCTATAAGGAGGTGCTTACAAAGTTGGAAAGGTAAAGAAAATCGAAACATAAAATTTTTGGTAAATCAACCAAAAGAATCAAAGGGTTTAAATAATGTTGAAAAATGAAGTCTTCCAAATTCCTATCTTCAGTTTGATAATAAAAATGCTTGGTGAAGTCTTCAAAGTTCCCGTCTTCCGTTTGATAATGAAAATGCTCGGTGCTCTTGAAAGCTTTTCATTCCGCCCACTCTAAATTGTCTAAAACAAGGATATTGTTCTTTAAGGGCTAGTTCAACCATCTAGAGAGGCAACAATGCATAGCATATTCTGATTTGCTTGTAATTTTTCAAAATCATTAACCATACTCCCTAGTTTCTCTCGTTCTTTTATTCATGAGACAAACCTAGTGCAAAAATACCCTCCCCGACTAATGTCCCGTAGGTGAAATCGGAGACAAAGTCGTAGTTTAATTCAACAAATGGTATTTTCATACTTCTTGCACCCTTATCCCTTGTATACCATGTCGACGAGTTGCTCGTCCTTCCTAATGCCATTCTTTCCAAATTCTTGAAAAAGGATAACTACCCTATATCTTCCGCTTAAGAAAACAATAAAAATGGGTACTTATCTATTATTCATTTTCCCACTTGTAGAAGATTTATATACTAAAAGCATTCTCTCGTCCCATTCAAGCATGTCAAATATTTCCCTTTTTATGTTTGGAAGACAACAACATGAAAAAAAAAAAACCATCTTGCAGTAACAATTCCATTGGTGGAATTCATTGCTAATTGTAGCTTATGGATCAAATATTTTGTCTCTTCTCCACCAAGTAGATATATGAACCTCCACATACAAGGGAATGTGCATTTGTTTAACTATTGTTACTAGAGGTATGCATTCAAATTATTATTCTTTTATTTTTAAATTTCTTCATTGCATTTCTTTTTGTATTTAATAGCATGTCGGCCAATGATTCTTTGTGTGCGATGAACAAGCAGACTAGAAGAGTAAATAGACGATTTATGTGGAATGAAGCACTCGAGTATATCAACCATATATTTTTATGTTGCAAGTAGACTCGAAGCTTATAGGTGTTGATCTTTGGGATAGGATTTTGTTGTGTAGTTTTTTGTATGGGCTCGAGGCCATAATTGGAGATGCTTATATAAACTACAATGGTGTGCCAATTTCGTTTTATTTTTTCTTCTTGATGTGTGTGTGTGGGGGTTTAATCGGGGTTGGAGTGCAATCTCTACATTTGTTGCAATATATAACTAAGGAGCATCAACAATCCAAGTATTCGGGTAATAACTAAGGAGAACCACCAAACTAGTATTCGGATAAAGAGGCAAAAGTTGCTTGAATGCAAAGGAACAAGTTCTCACATGCAATAGGATTAAATGTAGTGAAATCGCATTCCGATTTGTAGTCCAAGAGACATTTATACATTTATACTTGTTCTTTACCTCCTTTTCTTATATTTCATATTCTTTTTCTTTTTTGAAATTCTTAGAGATATTCTCAACCCAATAAGCAAAGACTTAATCATGCTATTCTGTCATTCTTCCATCATCTTATGAATTCTTATGTCCATGTTCGGGAATTGCATCCTTCGAAGGAAATTAATTTGAAATATAAATGCCGAAACCCGCACTCGCTTTATCCCTTTCAAATCGGTTTCATATTTGCCGATTCTTTTTAATTTTTTTTTTGCAGCATTTTATACCTAATCATGTGAGCGTTCAGGGATTGATGATCGCATAAAACTATTGGAATATGTTGTTCAAAACATTGCCTTAATTCTTCGTGCATACTTGGATGTGGTAATGCATATCTTATCCAAATTTCTTTCTCTTGAAATTCATATGCTTTATAAATTTTGGTTTGTTTCCTTCTTTTCCTTTGCCTTCTGCTTGTTTCATTTCTTTCTAACTTTCTTGTGTTTTTAATTCTATAACATATGGCTTCCTTTTTGAATTTCTTTGTCCATAACACATACTACTTCTATCCAAAGCCATTGCGCATTTGTCCGAAACCACAGAGGTAATGTGAGCAACCGAGCAAATTAATGCATAAGACAATTATCCGTCTATATATCCGACATATTTTATTAAGTTTGCATAATTCGTCATTTGTAATTAAAAAATAATAATAATATCAACAAAAAAATATTGTGATTGACGTTGTTTTAGGGTTATTTAGGTGGTTTCGATTAAAACTAATGGAATAAATAAGCCAATGACTTTTAAAATATCTAAGTGTGTCAAATATATTTTGATTTGTACTTGGATCTTGTTATGTTAAAAATAATTCCTAATTAATTCAAGAATCAAGAGCATGTAATAATACCGAATGATAAAATCATAAGACCATGAAAGAGTGGGATATGAAGAGTAAAAGAAACAAGGGTTCAGCTTCTAATAGCTCGGTCTATAAGGTGGTACTTACAAAGTTGGACGGATAAAGAAAATCGAAACATAAAATTTCATGTAAATTGTCCAAAAGAATCAATGGAGTTAAATAAAGCGAAAAAATGAAGTCTTCAAAATTCCTATATTCAGTTTGATGATAAAAATGCTTAGTGAAGTCTTTAAAATTCTCGTCTTCGGCTTGATAACAAAAATGCTAGGTGCTCTTGAAAGCTTTTCATTCCGCCCACTCTAAATGGTCTGAAACAAGGATATTGTTCTTTAAAGGGCTAGTCTAGCTAACCATAGAGTCAACAATGCATAGCATATTCTGATTTGCTTGTGATTTTTCAAATTCATTAACCATACTCTCTATTTTTTCATTCTTTTCTTCATGAGACAAACTTAATGCAACAATACCCTCCCCGACTAATGTCCCGTCGGTGAAATCTAAGACAAAGTCGTAGTTTCATTCAACAAAAAGTATTTTCATCCTTCTTGCACCCTTATCCCTCGTTTGCCATGTCAACGAGTTGGTCATCCTTCCTATTGCCAATATTTCCAAAATCTTCAAAAAGGATAACTACCCTATATCTTCCGCTTAAGAAAACAGAGAAAATGGGCACTTATCTATTATTCCTTTTCCCACTCGCGAAACTTTATATAGTAGGAGCATCCTCTCGTCCATTTTGAGCAAGTAAAATATTTCTCTTTATATGTTTGGATGACAACAAGACAAAAACCAAAAACCAAAAATAAAAAATCATGCAGTAACAATTCCATTGATGAAATTTATTGCCGACATGGTGCGGAACAATTCCAAGGAATGACTTTTTGTTCATCATCTCCTAATGGCTCGATACTTTTTCGAGAAGCCAAGCAAGGTGATTGTAGCTTATGGATCAAATATTGTCTCTTGCCCACCAAGTAGACTTATGCACCTCTAAATACAAGGGAATTAGCATCTCGTTTAAGTATTGTTATTGGATGTATGCATTCAAATTATTATTCTTTCATTTTCAAATTTGTTCATAGCATTTCTATTTAATAGCATGTCGGCCAATAATTCCTTGTGCACGATGAACAAGGTTGACATGTTGAAGTTAGGGGTTCTTATTGTTATGCAATCCTTCAATGACATGGCCTACTTGGTTGTGGGTCTAATGCTAGTACTTATATCTAATCAATTATGGAATCGGAGGAAAATTATTGTGTGACTAGGGATGGAGAATGAGCACTAAAAGAATGATGGTGGCATGGATAGTCCATACATAAGTTTTGTCTAACATAGGATCTAATGCTACATGCATACTTGATGAGGATAACAAATTATGTAATTTGTGGAAAATTTAATGCATGAGAAGGTATTAAAAGGGACGCTTACCGTACTTTACAGACTAAATTCATGCCAGTAACAAGTGCAACAAGGTTCATTATTTCATCTAAGCCTCGTAAGAGAGAGTGAACATTATGTTTGATAATCACCGTCTTCTATGCATGTTTAATGAAGAAATTTTCTCGATTCATTTGATGGTGACATTTTTTGGTTTGTGTTGTGGCAGCTGTTCGTAAATTATTTCAGCTAGCTTATTGTAAAATCTTTTTCCTGATCGACTTTCCTCCTTTTTCCTTCTTATTTTCAGTTGATCTCCTAATTATATGTTGAGGCCACATTACATAGTTGCTTATATTCCGTGTGATAGTGTTGCTCGGAAATTTTATCAACTTTGGTGTTGTTGAATATTATGGCGATACTACATTTAAAGATGTTCTTGATGCTATTCCGAAGACGATATTGCCAATTTCTTTGGATGATATATGGGCTTTTAGAAAGGTAGGCATTGCCTTTGATTTCGTACTTTCAAGCATACGGATTAACAAAATCTTTATATATATATATACATGCAACGTATTAAAGTCGGTTATTATTACATTTCATTAGCATGGGAAGTTCGTTTGTTGTATTATTTACAAGTTGGATATGCCGATAATCCCCGTGCTATTTCTATCGTGTTCGGTAGGATTTTCCATCACAAAAGGCATAGAAGTCCTAGAAATCTGAATTGTTATTTTCCATTGATCCGTAAATTTATTTCCCCATGTTTTGTTAAAAACGAGTTGATTCCACTCCTTTTCATTACAAGTTCTACTTTCTTGTTAAGCACCATATTATGTTAATGCATTGCATCGGAGTTCTATGTTCCTCATTTGGAAAGACCTTTTCTTTGTGTTCCTCATTTGGATCACAAGTGATTTATACTCGTTATTTCATTGTTCTCTTCTATATTTATATTTAATTTTGATTTTTCAAAGTTCTTCCAGCTTTGCATTCTCTCCTCTTCTTATAGTGATTTCAACTTGTAAGCCGTAACTTCTAATGTGGTATTTTCTTAAATTGTAAACTACAACCGTTTATCTTGCATTTTCTTGAACTTGCACAAATGTTTTTAGCTAACTCGTTAACATACATTTTCTTGATCACGTTGCATTTAATAATGTATGATTGCATTTCTTATAGCATGTTTGATTATTCATATTAGAAAGAATGTATATGAAATGTTTAAGGTTTTCTTTTTTTCCTTGTCTTTAGCTCACTCCGGCCTACTTTGCAGTCTTGTAAGTGCTCTTGAACAATCATTCGGCTTTCTTTTTGGGTCTACATTCTAGCACCTTTACTTGTGTTATTGGATCCATGAGTCAAGACTTAAATCTTCCGATTTTATAATCTAATTACAAGTCGGTGTAACATTTACGGGTCTCTTACTCTTGTCATTTTTAGTGTCCATCATGGACTCTGTAATCCATCCTATGTTGGCAACTCTTCACAAAGACTTGAGGATTATAAATCAGCGTTAAATTTTGTTCTTCAAATAACAAGATGTTCCATCCGGAAGTAGTATAGTTATGTCCATGCTGGCAGCTTTTCCGATTATTTTCTTTTCTATTGCAGTGTGTATTGATTGTTGATAACTTGGCAACTTTCTATTTTGTCCACATTACAATGGAAAAGTCACCTAGTTCGGTAGTCGCTAGAAGTCTTCCTATCCAGTAATAGAGATCTACCTGTTTTTTTTTTCAAATGTAAGTAAGATGTGAATATTTAACGATTTTCCCGAGGATAACATGATTTTACTACAACAACCGATCTCATTTTTTTTTCTTAGAAAATAAAACTTCTCTTCAATTAGCTAGAGATTGGAGAAGGAAAATATTTCTTGTGCCAATCAATTCAAATTTCTCCAAAGAAAAATTCTTAAAAAAATTTCATCACAGTTTTTACGAATCAAAGTTTTTTTGTTAATTGGCTTTGCATTTTAGGTGTTAGCCGATGAATGCATGTATAAGAAAAAAACAATTACAAGTTGCGGAAGGATGTTCAAATAAAACATCCGACATTATCTATACAAACAAATTTTCTTCAGCTTTTGAATTTTTTAATGGGATCTATTTCATAATGGGTTCCAAATTCTTGACATTCATTCTACTCTAAAAGTGTATGTGTGGGTAGTGTAAGAGAGACAACACCGGTCTACACTTGCCATTCATGCAACCGATAGGGTTCCAATATTTTCAAATGCTTAGAATCATAATTTTCAATATAACATCATATTTTTCAGCACTATATCGTGATAAACAAATTACAAATATAATTCTTGTAATTATAGCTCCGTAAGTGCAAGAAATTAATGTTTAATTTAGTATCAAGTATGCGAGTTTCATTCATTTACAACCGTTCAATAAATTTTTGTTTCCTTATCTCGCTGGTTTTGTTTTGATGTAGAATCGTTTTATTTCTCTAGATATTGAAAACACTTTGAGATCATATTATTTGAGAATCATAGCAGACCACTCGGAGTCTTTTTAGTAGTCCAACACTAAGCTGCAAGTGGTCCACTCGTTCTTGTTTCACATAAACTTGATAATTAAAGAAACCGAATTCGGAATGCTTACACATCTCCCTAGAGGCATGCATATGTCCAGCCATCCCATTAAAAACATACCACGGAATAAGTTGAGTCGTGTGTTAGTAGATAGCCAATTTGATTCACTTTTACTTGTGTTGGCCAAAGCTTGGCGATGAAATTGGCAATGAGTGTTGGTGATAGACATCAATAGAAGAGCTTAATTGTGGTGACGGAAAAACAGGGTGATTTTTCGGATGTCTTCGGATCTAAATACGTCTAATTTTCCTTGTGGTGTTTAAGATTGGAGAAAATTAAAAAATACAATTGACGACTCGACCTTGTCGTAGATTTTATATGCACCTTGTTCATTAGAAGTAGTTTACCTTGATATTTCATGTCAATTAGACGAATCCAAATGCTAATTGGATAAGCAATTGATTTTTTTTTACACAATTGACTTTTCATTATTTTGGCTTTTTTGTTGCTTGCTTCTTAATTTCAAGAAAATGATAGGTCGAGCCTTTTCCTTACCGAAAATTTGATTTCTATGGTCCTTCAATGCAGTTCACTGTTTGCACTTTATCCCGCATACTTGTTTTCTCTTTAACTTAAATTTAGATAGCTCTTTGATGAACTCGTTTTAATTAGAATAAAAAAAAGACATGTTGCATCTTTGTGTTCCACTTATGCTCGCATGAGCATTTGGCCAACATAATATATTTAAGCTATTTTTTATATTAGAATTGTGCATTCTGCGCTATTGATATTTCTATTTTTCTTTGTTTTTGGAAAAAATCCTTATTTCTTCTTGAAAATACTTTGCCTTTTCTTTCTTACTTGGTTTTCTTTGTCTTTTTTGTTTAGGCTTTTCCTTCCGCACCTCACACTCGCTCGTTAGGTAGTCCTCCTTATTGGCTTGCGATCACTCCCTACTGCGTGATTCCACCATTGTATTCTTCTTCTCTCGTTCGTTTTGCAGTGTTTGCATGTTTTTATTGGGCCTCTTTGTAGCATCGTTATAAATCATTGCTTGTTATCTCTTCTATGCATTCATTTATTGGCTTTCATAAATTTTTTTTTGATATTTAATTAGAAAAATTGTTGGTTTGTTTGTAACCATGCCATGAGAAAAAATGTACTATATCCGTGTTTCTTTTAGAGCTTTAATTGTGTTCTTTGTGCCATTTCTCATGCTATTCCATTCAATTTGCATAGATTTTTTGTTTTTATAGGAAATGATTTTGTTCTTTTGACATTCCTTTATTTAATATGGTGGTAAGATTTTAGTAATCATGTGCCTTTCATGTTTTCGGATTATATATTGTTATCCTTTAACATGTAGATGCCATAGTGCTATTTATGGGCTTGGTTCACTTTGAATAATAAAGAATGGCATGCTGCATTTTTGCTCTTGGTTCATCGAACCTCCCCATTACCTTTGCTCTTTCATAACTCGCATAACAAAATGAATTCCGGAATGCTTACACATCTCCATAAAGGCATGCATGTGTCTAGCCATCCCATTAAAAACATACCACGGAATAAGTTGAATCGTGTGTTAGTAGATAGCCAATTTGATTCCCTTTTACTTGTGTTGGCTAAAGCTTGACGAGTGAGTGTTGGTGGTAGACATCAATAGAAGAGCTTAATTGTGCTCGACGTAAATTTGATTCCCTTTGTAACATCGTTATAAATCATTGCTTGTTATCTCTTTTATGCATTCATTTGTTGGCTTTCATAAATTTTTTTCTAGTATATTTAATTAGAAAAATTGTTGGTTTGTTTGTAACCAAGCCATGAGAAAAAATATATTATATCCGTGTTTCTTTTATAGCTTTAATTGTGTTATTTGTGCCATTTCTCATGCTATTCCATTCAATTTGCATATATTTTATGTTTTTATAGGAAATTATTTGGTTCTTTTGACATTCCTTTATTGAATATGGTGGTAAGATTTTATTGATCATGTGCCTTTCATATCCTCGGATTATATATCGTTATCCTTTAACATATACATGCCAAAGTGCTATTTATGGGCTTGGTTCACTTTGAATAATAAAGAATGGCATGCTGCATCTTTGCTCTTGGTTCTTCGAACCTCCCCATTACCTTTGCTCTTTCATAACTCGCATAACAAACCGAACTCCGGAATGCTTACACATCTCCCTAGAGGCATGCATATGTCCGGCCATCCCATTAAAAACATACTGCGAAATAAGTTGAGTCGTGTGTTAGGAGATAGCAAATTTGATTCACTTTTACTCGTGTTGGCCAAAGCTTGGTCGTGAGTGTTGGTGATAGACATCAATAGAAGAGCTTAATTGTGCAAATAGAAAAACATTGTGATTTTTCAGATGTTTTCATATCTAAATACGTCTAATTTTCTTTGTGGTGTTTAAGATTAGAGAAAATTAAAAAAAGTACAGACTAACATCCCGACCTTGATGTAGATTTTATATGCACCTTGTTCATTAGAAGTAGTTTACCTTGATATTTCATGTCAATTAGACAATCCAGATGCTAATTGGATAAGCAATTGATTTTTTTTAAAAACAATTGACTTTCCATTGTTTTGGGTTTTTTGTTGCTTGCTTGCTAATTTCAAGAAAATGATAGGTCGTGCCCTTTCCTTACCGAAAATTTGATTTCTATGATCCTTCAATGCAGTTCACTTTTTGCACTTTATCCCGCACATTGTTTTCTCTTTAACTTAAATTTGGATAGCTCTTTGATGAACTCGTTTTAACTTAGTATAAAAAAAAAAAAGACATGTTGCATTTTTGTGTTCCACTTATGATTGCATGAGCATTTCACCGGCATAACATATTTAAGCTATTTTTTATATTAGAATTGTGCATTCTACGTTATTGATATTTCTATTTTCTTTCGTTTTTGGAAAAAATCCTTCTCATTTATTCCTGAAAATACTTTGCCTTTTTATTCTCTGTTACTTGGTTTTCTCTATCTTTTTTGTTTAGGCTTTTCCTTACGCACCTCACACTCTGCCGTTAGGTAGTCCTCCCTATTGCCTTGCCATCACTCCCCATTGTGCGATGCCACCATTGTATTCTTTATCTCGTGGTTGTTTTGTAGGTTTGCATGTTTTTATTGGGCCTATTTGTAGCATCGTTATAAATCATTGCTTGTTATCTCTTCTATGCATTCATTTATTGGCTTTCATAAATTTTTTTCCGATATTTAATTAGAAAAATTATTGGTTTGTTTGTAACCATGCACATGAGAAAAAATGTACTATATCCGTGTTTCTTTTATAGCTTTAATTGTGTTCTTTGTGCCATTTCTCATGCTATTCCATTCAATTTGCATAGATTTGTTGTTTTTATAGGAAATGATTTGGTTCTTTTGACATTCCTTTATTGAATATGGTGGTAAGATTTTAGTGATCATGTGCCTTTCATGTCTTCGGATTATATATCGTTATCCTTTAACATGTAGATGTCATAGTGCTATTTATGGGCTTGGTTCACTTTGAATAATAAAGAATGGCATGCTGCATTTTTGCTCTTGGTTCTTCGAACCTCCCCATTACCTTTGCTCTTTCATAACTCGCATAACAAACCGAACTCCGGAATGCTTACACATCTCCCTAGAGGCATGCATATGTCCAGCCATCCCATTAAAAACATACCACGGAATAAGTTGAGTCGTGTGTTAGTAGATAGCCAATTTGATTCACTTTTACCTCGTGTTGGCCAAAGCTTGACAATGAGTGTTGGTGATAGACATCAATAGAAGAGCTTAATTGTGCCGATAGAAAAACATGGTGATTTTTCGGATGTGTTCATATCTAAATACGTCTAATTTTTCTTGTGTTGTTTAAGATTGGAGAAAATTAAAAAATACAATTGACAACTCGATCTTGCTCGTAGATTTTATATGCACCTTGTTCCTTAGAAGTAGTTTACCTTGATATTTCATGTCAATTAGAAGGTCCGGATGCTAATTGGATAAGCAATTGATTTTTTTAAAAAACAATTGACTTTCCATTATTTGGCTTTTTTGTTGCTTGCTTTCTAATTTCTTGAAAATGATAGGTCGTGCGTTTTCCTTACCGAAAATTTGATTTCTATGATCCTTCAATGCAGCTCGCTATTTGCACTTTATCCCGCCTATTGTTTTCTCTTTAACTTAAATTTAGGTAGCTCTTTGATGAACTCGTTTTAATTAGAATAGAAAGAAAGATATGTTACATCTTTGTGGTCCACTTATGCTTGCATGAGCATTTTGCTAGCATAACATATTTAAGCTATTTTTTATATTAGAATTGTGCATTCTACGCTATTAATATTTTCATTTTTCTTCGTTGTTTGAAAAAATCCTTCTTATTTCTTCCTGAAAATACTTTGCATTTTCTTTCTCTCTTACTTGGTTTTCTTTGTCTTTTTTGTTTAGGCTTTTCCTTTCGCACCTCACACTCGCTCGTTAGGTAGTCCTCCCTATTGTCTTGCCATCACTCCCCATTGCGTGATGCCACCATTGTATTCTTCTTCTCTGTTTGTTTTGTAGGTTTGCATGTTTTTATTAGGTCTCTTTGTAGCATCGTTATAAATCATTGCTTGTTATCTCTTTTATGCATTCATTTATTGGCTTTCATAAATTTTTTTCTGATATTTAATTAGAAAAATTATTTGTTTGTTTGTGACCATGCCATGAGAAAAAATGTACTATATCCGTGTTTCTTTTATAGCTTTAATTGTGTTCTTTGTGCCATTTCTCATGCTATTCCATTCAATTTGCATAGATTTGTTGTTTTTATAGGAAATGATTTTGTTCTTTTGACATTCCTTTATTGAATATGGTGGTAAGATTTTAATGATCATGTGCCTTTCATGTCTTCGGATTATATATCGTTATCCTTTAACATATACATGCCATAGTTCTATTTATGGGCTTGGTTGACTTTGAATAATAAAGAATGGCATGCTGCATTTTTGCTCTTGATTCAGTCGAACCTCCCCATTACCTTTGCTCTTTCATAACTCGCATAACAAAAAATGATATGCAACATCTTTGTTTTTATCTTGCCGAACTCCCATTATCCTTGCTTTTTCAAAGCTGGTTTTGGGTTTGCATTGCTTGTTATCTATTTTATGCATTTCTTTATCGGCTTTGATTCATTCGTTCCTACCACTGTACAATTATTGGTTTATCTATGCCCATGTCATGATAGAGGAAGAACAACATCTCTGTTTATTTTACGAGTCCCGTGTTCCGAGTGCCATTGCTCACGATATTCCATTCCATTTGCACGAGTTTATTGTTTTCAAAGGAAATTGTTTCATTTATTCCATTCTATCTACACAAATTTGTTATTTTCATGGGAAATATTTGGTTTTTTGACATTCGCTATCCTTTACCATTTTTCAATTGGAATAAAACAAAAAAAAAATTGTTGTCTTTTTTCCACTCATGCTCGCATGAGCATTGAGTCGATATAACGATTTAAGCTATTTTTTCTATTACAATAATGAATTGTATTGTGTTGATCTTTGCTTTTTTCATTGTTTTTTTGAAAAAATCCTTGTTATTTCTTCCTAAAAATGCCCTTGATCGTTTTTTAATTGTTTCCAACCCTTTATTTTTCTCAATTAGCTCAATTCTTAGAATTAATCTAAAGTAGACCATTCGATCGCTCTTTTTTTTCTATTTTTATTGTTTTATTTTATCATTTTTTGGGGGTCTTTCCATAATAATATAAATAAATAAATAAATAAAGGGGAGAAAAATTAGGTGCTAACACAAGTTATTAACCTCTATAAGTTAAGATCTCGTCCTTCAATATCACGAAGCATCTCTTTTTCTTAAAATATGAAATAAAAGATTATTTTATTGTCCAAGGGTGATTTCAGTTCAAATTAAAAGATGTAAACTTTAGAAATTCTGTAATGAATAAATGAAAAAACTAGGTAAGAAGTAATTATCAATATAAATATGATATATCCGAGATCAGCAAGTCTGGATTAATATCACAAAAATGGTGAAATAGAATGAATCAATCGGCGTATGATTCAAAATAAAGATTTAAACAAATGGAATTTATATGAAAAAGACCAATTAATTCATTACGAAAAACAAAATAATTTTGAAGTAGATTCATTATCGAACCAAAAAGATAATTTTAAAAAATACTATAGATATAATATTTTATTATATAAATCCATTAATTATGAAAATAAGAAAGACTCATCTATTTATGAATTACCATTCCAATTAAATAATAAGCAAGAGATTTTTTATAATTACAAAATAGATCAAAAGCAAATTATTTGATATGCCGGGAGGTATCCCTGTCAATAAGCATCTAGCAGAAGATGATATTATCGATACGGAAAAAAGCCCGCATAGAAAATATTTGGATTGGAGAATTCTCCATTTTTGTCTTAGAAAGAAAGTCGATATTGAATCCTGGATCGATACCGGAACCAAACAAAAAAAAAACCTTTTTGATTGGATGGGAATGAATGAAGAAATACTAAATCGTCCCATATCAAATTTAGAATTTTGGTTCTTTCCAAAATTTGTGATACTTTACAACGCATATAAGATAAAATCATGGGTGATACCAATCAAATTACTTCTTTTAAATTTTAATGGCAATAAAAATGTTAGTGAAAATAAAAAAATCAATAGAAAGAAAAATAATGATCCTTTTATATCATCGAATGAAACAAAATCTATTAAATTAAAGAATCAAAATCACGAAGAAAAAGAGTCTGAGGATCAAGTAGATCTTGAATCAGTTCTCGCAAACCAAGAAAAAGATGTTGAAGAAGATTATGCAAAGATCAGACAGGAAAAAGCGTAGAAAGAAAAAGCAATACAAAAGTAATATGGAAGCAAGAAATCTAGTAGTTCAAGACATCTCTCTTTTAAGGAGGCGGCGATGATTCGACTTCCCTTGGGGGTAGGGTATTACGAAAGGAAGTTTATGGAGGATTATTAAGAAGTCCGGAATTTTTTCTTCCCGGGTGGATGCTCGAGTGGTTAATGGGGATGGATTGTATATTCGTCGGCAATATGCCAACACTAGTTCAAAATCGAAATTTTTGATCAATGGAGGAACAATATCACCATTTTTGTTCAATAAGATACCAAAGTGGATGATTGACTCATTCCATACTAGAAATAATCGCAGGAAATCTTTTGATAACACGGATTCCTATTTCTCAATGATATCCCACGATCAAGACAATTGGCTGAATCCCGTGAAACCATTTCATAGAAGTTCATTGATATCTTCTTTTTATAAAGCAAATCGACTTCGATTCTTGAATAATCTACATCATTTCTGCTTCTATTGTAACAAAAGATTCCCTTTTTATGTGGAAAATGGCCCATATCAAGAATTATGATTTTACGTATGGACAATTCCTCAATATCATGTTCATTCGAAACAAAAATATTTTTGTAAATAGCTTTACGGACGAATGGATCGGGTCGAATTGGAAAATGGAAAGATTTGTACAAGCTTTCCTTACCACTTTGTGGAAAATCATTAGGTATGAATGCGTTAGATACATGTGACTCGATTAGTGAAATAGTATCTCTCTCCAAAAAAACATGTTTATATATAATTCCTATATGTATGCATACATATATACATATGTATATACACACATACACATATGTATATATGTATACGTATACATGTATATATACACATATACATGTATATGTATACATATATACACATTTATGTGTGTGTGTGTGTATATATATATATAACTTAGCTAATATATAATACTTTGTACTTTGAGAAGTTGCATTCCTTTTTAGGCTTTCTTTGTGGTGATTTTTATTGGATGTTTTGTGGTAAAATTCTGAATTTAAGTTTCTCAAAACTTTTTTCGGGTGTTTTATGAAGTTGAGACAAAAGCAGACTTGTTAGATTTTGATTACTATTGCGGACTAGTTAGATTTTGATTACTATTGCCGTGTAAGCATACTTTCTAGTGTTGTGCTCGACTACAATCTATTAGGAGATCTAGGCTCTAACGATTTACTCTTATTGGCATTAAGAACAACATTTTGTTTATAAAATCATTGCATAGATAAATATTCTTTACTT